ATCCCTTCATCCTCAGATTCTCCAGAACAGGAGAATGAAAATTGGTTGTATTCCTGGCAGATGTTTTTAAGCTCAATTTTCTGCCCTGAAGGAATACAGATGTTGCTGGAAGAGAATAGCTGCCATTAAAAGATGAAGTTAGTAGTTACACTCTGCTTTACTCTCCAGTGCTGGAGGAACTGAGATGCATCTCTCCAGTACTTTGTAGTACTTTCTGAGCCCCTTGCTGCTCCTGAGGAGGTCATTACCCACAGTCTGAGAAATGTTTTTCTAGACTAAGGCCTTGGTTGTGTTATACTTCTCTTATAACACTGTTTAAAAGGACTAGAGTAGCCTAAAGGTAATCTTCAAAGAAAAAACAGCCCCTCCCCAACCTGGCCCTTGCTGTACCTTCTCCTCAGCTTACTGTTTGATGCCCTTGGCAAACAGAAAGTGCAATTTTGCTTTCTCTGCTTGCAGAAGAGAGTAAGAGGCATAGCATCAGATTTTGTCAAAGATTTTGCATGACCTGTCTTTTTGAAACTAAAAAAATATTGAAAATTCAGATGTTCTGAAAATAGCTTTTCTGTCTCATGTTTAGAGTCTTTAAATTAACGTTAAATAGCTTGACAAGCTATACAGTGATTCTTAGCTCTTCTGGCAAGAATGATCATACTTACTCCTTTATATTTCTCTCTGCCAGTTCTAAATCAAAGTTTTAACTGAAAACTGTAAAGGTTTTATGAATCAGTTGCATGCTACTTATTGTGCTTTGCAGACTACAGTAAGAGAGAAATGGGCTTAATAGTTAATGAGTTAATAGTTGCTATTTTTCCTTTAACATTATCATATTAATTTAAAATATTCCCAACCCTAAATTTGTAGATTTATTGTCAAAACTAATTTCATTTTTTGATTACACTTATTTCCTTTTTGGTTTTATATTAATGCAGTTATATTTTAGTTGTATGTCCTGAATGGTTGTTTTGAAAATTGTGTTCATACAGCGTAGGATGATCATGATCTGTAATCAGTTCTATAGTAACTGCTGTTGATCAATGTATTTTCTTTGGTATAGTCTTGACAATTTTTGTTTCTAATTGTTTCTATTATGTTACACTGCACTCAGCTATAGAATCAACTATAGAATTAAACTTTGAGAGTGCAATGGGACAGAGCGCCTAAAATGTGTGAGAGATTTATCTACTAAATGTAGTTAAGTGGGGCTAGGTGCCTTGCCAGAGGTCATAGGAAGAATTAACGACCAAGGGAGTATAACACATTTCCCTTCGTGTCCAGTTCTTGTACTTGAATTATACAGTCATCTTTTGTGTGTATTTTCTACCATTTTCCATGTACTCCAGATATTTGTTATGGAAATGAAGTCCTTAAATACCACTTCTAGATGTTGGGTCTCTGATAGGAAAAGAATCCTATAAGTGTTTTGTTGTTGAAGTGTTGGTGTTTATATTTTAATAACACACTTCTTTTTACAAACTGTTCTATTTTTCAGTATTACTGTTTTTTTCTTTGTGTATGTTTTCATCATCAATTTTGCTGTAAACATGAGATAATCTATTTGTTTAAAGCCTAGTTTAACACTCTTAACTAATTAAATTTTGGTTTGCTATATACAATTAAATTGTATTTGAGTGTATTAGTCCCTCACCCTTTGATTTAGCTCAGTGTGGTGTATTTAGACATAAGTTTTTATTATATAAGAGATTAGACTACCATGAATAAGAAAAATGTAGGAGTCTCATTGCTTGAAATCACTGAGAGGATAAATAGGGACATAAAACTTCCTAGAAATTCAAATATCCAGGCAGGCTGGATTTGGGGAAAAAAAAAAGTGGACATGTGCAGAAACTGTGAGTACAATTAGCGTCAAGCAGATAAATCCAACTCTAATCCTGTTTACGCTCTACATCAGACAGATGTGCTGAGATTGATTTAGACAAGCCCTTGGCTTATAGTAAATTTTTTTTTAAAGTGCCATATATTCTGTTTTTGTTAGATCTTTGTTAAATGTTAAGTGCTGTTAGTTTTAGTCTTCCTAACGCCTGTAACCTACTTTATACAGGTTCCCTCTCTGCTCTCATGATGACAGAGCAGCCTGCTAGAAGAGATTATCTTTATTCCTTGTAATTAAATTGACTTTTTTGTTCAGAAGATACGACAATGGGAAGTGGGTACTGAATTAAATAAATAGCATGATATCTAATAGATGTATACTTAAATCTCTCGCAAGAACAGATGGTACCCAATATCTTTCTAAGTAATGTGAGAGGACAGTTAATGTCCTGAAACAGCTAGCAATAACCAATATGATACTAACAAGCCAATAGGTTTTTTGAAGTTTGAAAAAGTCTCTAATCCAATGTCTACTCTATTTTTAAAGTAAACTTGGTTGTTATAACACACTAGAAATATTTTATAAGTCATGTAGCTCATGACTTATTTTGTTTATCTGAATTATTTTATAAAATTTTACTGAATTCATGATGATCTTATTTTCAGTAAAATAGAAGATGAAAATTATAGCATATGCCTAGGGACTTTTATGCAGATTTCTTTTCAACTTTACAAAAAATTTGCTGTCCTAATCCTACTAGCTAGTTCAATATTTCCTCTACAATTTAAAACTGGATGAAGATATTTTTGTACAATTCGGTATTCCTACAGTTTATGTGCTGCATCTGGGAATGTATTCCATTAGAACAGCTAGAGTCAAATACTACTTTTGAAAGTGTAGTGCTGCCTAGTAAGAATGTATTATTTTAATTTTTAAAAGTTTTGACGTGCATCTGAACAACACAAGAATTTGACAAATACAGAGTGAGAGGAAGATGTAAAAGCAAATAAAAATCTGGCTGAAATAGTAGCATGAAAAGAATAGACAAGACAAACCTTACCTGGCCTATGACTAAATGTCGTTCTACGAAAGGTAGTGGGGGAGTTAAAAGTATTTTATTTATTTTAACAAGCCTTCATTTTACTTGATTTATGAAGGACAAATAAGCTAATGTTTGTGATTTATTTGTGATGCATATGCATAAAATTAGCATTTACTCCCAAATGTTTTAGAAGAGCAATAGAAAGATTGAAAAAAATCAAGATCTCGGATTTGGTATTGTTAGTATTAAGGTTGTTTGTAAAAAGTCCACTCCTCCTTTGAGTCTATGTGAAATCATAGTTCAAATGGAACCATACAGGTTTTTCCCCTCAGTCCCCTGGTTTCATTGAATGTGTCTTAGGGAAAATACTTTTACAGCAATGATTACAGTACTTTAAGCTTTGTTTTGTGTTCTGTTGTTTGGTGAGTTTCCGCGTGTCTATTTGCTGTGTACTTCTGAAAATCTGCACTACAGACAATTTCCTGTGTACTATCTCAGTGCACACGAACATTTACTCGTCACGGTATTCCTGCTAAGAATGGAATGATTTTAGTCCAATTTTACACCTTAGTAGCTGACCTATGGAGAAAATAAGATGGTAAAATGTACCAAGTTGGAAAAATACGTAGGAAGTATAAGGTCATGCTTCTATCTGCAGTAGGTTATTTGGTATGGAACAGGAAAAAATGGGTTGGTTGAGAATTGTTGGGAGAGGTAATACTGACTTCAGCTTTAGCTGTGTTAGCGTTGCTGAGGTGCAGTCTTCCAGGATTTCTGGACAGAAGGATGATCACTGCATAAACTGGTTTGAGAAATGATGTTGAGAAATGCCAACGTCAAGCTGTTACAAGAATTGATACAAGCTTCTTTTTTTTTTTTTTTCTACTCAGAAAGAGAATAACTTTCTGAAGCCCCGAGCTTCATGTGGTGTAATGAAATAGGTGATAACTTGATTCTGCAGTCTCACACCTGCAGTGCTGTCCCTCTTCTTCAGGAAGACAGTTAAAATAGTCTTTTGCAGCTTCTCCCTGGAACTTCAGTACAGCATGCAGCAAAGACTCATCAAACAGTTGAGTTTGATGGCTTTTGCTATTGAGAAACCACTTGACTGAGCTGTTGCTACAATTGGAAAAGGTTTCTATTTTCTAACTTGCCTTCAGCTGCAAAGAGACCTATATTGTTATAGCATATCGGATCTGCTGTAATTACAGGCAAACTTTCCATGTCCAGAGTATCTGATACCTACAGGAACGGTGATATTTTCCCTTCAGTCTGTGTATTTGACTGTTTTTGAGGAATCTGGTGTTTTATAGTTCAAGAGAGCAGAAGAAAGAGAAGCCTGTACCACAGTCATTCAGTTGGTCCATCTCCAAAAGGCATTTGGAACTAGTGTCACTGAAGTGATAGTGTCTGCAGCCACAGTGTCGTATGTATAACAGCCCTGAGATAAGAAAACCTTCACTTAGTGTTCCAGCCTAACACAAATCTCCCCTGAGGTGAGAGTCTTGAACTGTCATAAGAACTTTTGAAACCGTTTTTCTTTTACTTGTCTTCTAAAGTAAATTCACAACTCAAAAATGAAAGATAAGATGAGTGACATACTTTTGTTTTATTTTTCTGTTTTTGTTTAACTATTTTCTGGTATGTCTCTAGTCTAAACCCAAAAGGCATCAGTTATATCAAATGAAAAAATACATCGAGCATATAGTCAGCAAGGGTCATAGCACCATTTAGAATACAACTGCTATGATTGCTACGGTTGAGGAGAATACAAGGAAGACTTTGGTTTTTGAATGCAAATACACACAAAAAAAGGTGATTCACTGTTCTTAGGGTCTGCAATTTTATTCATTTTCTTCAATATCAGAAAAGAGATTGAATGATCTCTTTGAAATCATGTTGTTTGTATAGGTGGATACCTAACCTAAATAACAGAAAGTTGGTAAAATGTGGGACCAGTGATTGAGGAAAATGATATGCAATAAGTTTCAATACAGGCATGAGCAGATGCAACAAGTGAAGCTAGAGGTGAAGCCATAACAATGGTTTTTGTTAGATATTACTCCTAATCATATTGATAACACTTCTTTTTCTCCTTTTTTTTTTTTTTTTCCCTCCCTACAGGTGATTCCAGTATGGTTTTGCAGGCTCAAGAGGAGATTATTGAAATGAAAGATGTATTTTCAGTAAAACTGAAACGTCGTCGTTTTGTAGGGCAGAAAAAAGGTGGTACTTTGTTGGGCATCACAATTTTTAAATGCTTGAATAAAGAAGAGAATAAACTAACAGACTGTGCTATCCATTTAAATAACTTAAGTGAAGATCATTGTCATTCTTGGTTTAGACATCTAAAGGAAATTTTGAATGGTAAGCATTTATTTGCTGTTGATGTCATTATTTCAGCATTGTTTCTATTGGCATTATGTAAGCTTGAGTGAAGCTTAGAAAAATATTTTGCCTGTGGAAATTAAGACACACAGATATGAATATTATTGCTGGAAAATGTTTACTACTGAAGTTTTACATGGTGAAGTATAAAATTTAGGAAAGCGACAATAATTGACTAATGCATCTGTAAAAATTAAACAAATGCTATTTTTTTGGAAGTGTTTTGGAAGCTACTGAAAATAAGTAGCTTACTGTATTCTGACTGAAGAGTCTTCTGGGAAATCTGTTTCTTAAAGAAATAAAATATGTTGTTGATGTTTTCACTTGGAATTGCAGCGCATCTGATGGTACTACAGTTGTTGCAGTCCTGAGCCCCTTCAGGGACTTACCAGTAACTGTTTAGGAGCTCCCACTTGAGACCTGCAGATTCTTTAAGAGACTAATGGGAGAATCTTTCCTCCACTTCATAAATTCACAGGTGGAAGTGGTCTTAAGTTTCTGTAGGACTCTTATTGTATAGTTTGATACCAAATGTCTTGACAGTAGCTAGTGATGAGAGACAATTCTTTATTTTAAAAATACCTTTCTGTGCTTGCCCAGGCTAATGCCAGTTTTGGGATGCTTTGTTTAACTCATGATACTTGCATTGTTTTCATGGAATCTGTATCAAATTTAAGAAAAAAAATATTCAGCATTTAGGGGGAAAAAAAAACCCCAGCAAATCAAAGCCTTTCACTGTAATTTAATACCATCAGTGTTGGAAAAGACACAGAATATAGCACACAAAACAACAAACCAAACTCTCTGATTTAGCTCCAAAATGTGTCTCTGTTTACAGACTATAGCAAATGAGTTTATTTGTTACCAAAGAAAAACAAGTTGTAATAGACTATTAAAATTCCAGCTGAATTCTTAATACTGAACCAGATTACAGGATTCAAATCTCACACATGTGTAGTGTTTGTAACAACACTTCCAATTGTGATTTTTAGTGTATTTCTAGTAAAGTGACTTTGTCAACAGCAGATACTAGAGAAAGTAAAATAATATGAGTTATTAATGGTGCATTCTTGCATTGTTTGCTTGCAATATGATTTGGATTTCCCAAATAAAAATGTGTATTAAAAAGTGCTTTCCCTTGCCCCCTTTTTTGAACCACTTCATCATGAAATATCTAAATCTGCAGAAGTGCCAAGATTCTTGCAGATCTCCAGCTACTCATAAAGGCAAAGACATTTGCATAAGGAGCAAATGTCTGTTTTGTTCCCAGATTACCCTCCATCCATCAGGAGCAGTGATACCATATGTTCACAGAAAAAAAGCTGCAGTATCTCTTTCTCAGGTTGCCTTGACTTCGAGGTGCAGTCTCTGTTTTATAGATTTGTAATCGGAAGCCACCTGAACCTGGGAAAAAAGCTTTCTGTGCAACGTTGCTGTTTCCATTTCTTCCTTCAGCTTCAGTCTTTCTCCAGAAGCTCAAACCTTGCGCAGATTTTTCTTAATCTCTAATCAGTACAGTTTTCGCCTTTCCTTTTAGTTCAGGTATAATCAGGACTCGAGGCGGGGGGAACCAAACACAAACTCCAAAATATCATTTACTTATGTGTATATTGTTTTAAGTTCTGTAATTACAATAAAAGTAGTTTTTATGCTGTTACATTTTGAAGACTGACTAGATATTCAAACTGCTTTTCTCTCCAGAAAATCAGCAAAAAAGCAGCAGTGTTTGTGCATTCAGTGTCACAGAGACACATTATCAGTAATTTAAACAGTGATGGTATAGTAATGGTATAACTCAGAAAGAAAAGTCGTTTGTATTTAAAATGTAGCAAACATTGGCAGGATCCCAGTGGGATTCGAGTCTAGGCTAAAAGTATAAAATGCAGCTAAGTTCTATTGATTCCTCAGTAACTGAAATCTCAAAAGGCACATTGATAGATCTCTCCTTGAAAGTGATGAATTTTCATAGTTTTTGCTGCAGCTTGTTTTCACAACAGTGCTTGTGACATCTTTGTTAATGAACTCAAATTGGCTCATTTTTGGTTTTCTTATGAACTGCAGGATAAAGTTAAGATTTCATCCTTCTAAAATAGTCAAAATTTAAGTGTACACATTTTTTTTTGCTAATCTATCTGATCACAAAGTAAATTTTCACTAACTGCTGCTGGCTGTCAATAAACATGTACTTTCAGTTGTTGGAATGGCTGCATATTATGAAACAGTCTGTCTCCTTTGAAAATAAATACAATTTCTATTTGTTTACCTTATTCCTTGGCAGGCTTTTAGATTTTTATGCATATACATTAATTAAGGAACAACAACAGCAAGTTTATCAGTGATTATATGAGCTAGAGTTTTATCTCAAGATTTGTTCTAGGGAAGATGATTTCATTTTTTTTCTGAAATATCATGTACACAGTTTCCCTTTTACTGTACGTTCTGTGTCTGACATGAATGTTTCTTGCATGGTTTTACCTGTTCATTCCTTCTCTCTTCATAGCAAGTATTCTCTGTTGCTTTGAATTTGTGTTCAGAGTACTTAAATTTAAAGTCTAACTAGGCTATAATTTTTTATGAAGCCTGTCATCATATAAGTGAGCACACAGATGTAATAGAGTTGTTTAGAATTTAGTTACAGTGGCTGCTATTATGGCTTTTTGTGTGTGTGACAGTGTAACAAAACACCTGTACTACCATCTTCCCACTTTGAAATAAGTTCTTATTTTCTGCATAACGTTGCTGCTGTTCAGATGCCTGCCAGCTAGATATGAAGAGCTTGCTCAGTGTTATGGTGTTTGTGAAGACTGATCTCTGTGTATCACATATGTGTTAAACTGATGTAAAATAACCACCACTGTCTTAAGGCGTGCACCTTTGGAGCCTTAGTTCTGGACTGGCTCCTGGAAAGCCTCAACTTGCAGCTTAGATTCTAGTATGCTGTTGATAAGACTTATTTTTATTAACAGTTGATTTGAAAAAGTTTTTCTTAAAAACTCTGTAAACGATCAGAAGACAGTAGATATGGTTAAGAATAAATGATAAAGTAGGAAAAAAAGGCACGAAATGCATTTTATTTTTATCTGCTATTCTGTAGTATCTCTCACAGTGGGATTTGATATGAATGTCTGAAACCTCATGCATAAAGTTTTAATTAAACCATTAATGTTAAACATTAACTTTGGTTAGTTAATATTAACAGTGGTGTCTCCATAGTTACGTTAACGAATCTGTCTCATATTATTAGTTTTCCTCATGTATGATATTCTTACTGCTGTATAAAGTATTTATAAATGTATGCAATAAAGACATGATTCCAGGCTCTTAACTTTCGTAACATAAACCCATTTTCATAAAGCTAGGAACTGAAAGCAGCACAGATGTATGTCTGAGCATAGCGTCTCTGCTGCCCGATGAGCCTTTGTTTTCAGAACACCCTGATTGACCCACCACCCTTCATGGTTCACCGATTCACTTGATAGATCAAGTTTAAACTAGTGCATATTAGCACATTTGTTAGTACTAGAGGAACAGTTGGCCTTCCTGCTTTAGGCTGCTGGTTCATTTCAAATGGAGCAGCCACGGAAAACAATAACAGAATATCAGTTAGGAGAACACCAAAAGGCTGACAGACTGAAATCAGTTGCAGACTGTGGAAAAGGAGATTGATTCATTCATACAGATGTTGTTTAAAAAAAAGTAAAAGATGATAATTATTTAAAAATGCTTTTAAAGAAGTTTCACTGAGTAATTGTGTGAAAGTTTAATATTTGACTGTTCTTGGATACTCTTTCATTAAACTCAGTTATTTAGTGTGTTATAAGACATCCAGTGCATGCTGGGAATGATAATATTTTTTGTCGTGATCATCCTTTCATGACAGTTGGCAATCATTTGGCACAAACCAAACCACATCAGTAGTGTACCATATCTCTGCTCAAGTGCCTTGTTTGTGATACCTATTTCTCTAAATACAATAGTTTACCTCTCTGAAAAAGTAAATTGGTATCCAAGTAGTCATAAAGAGACTATTTTAACACTTTTATCCTGTGAATTCATGTAATTCTTGAAAATCGCACTAGGATTTATGTATTAACAGTGATCTACTTTTCAACAATAGCCAAATATATAGAATCATAAATACAATTCCTAGTTTAGAATAATTTAATGAATGAATTCTTGGTTTAAAAACAAAAAGAAAAACAAAACCAACAAAAAACCCCACCAAAATTCAACTCTTTCCTTAAATATCTAGGAATTTTTTCCCACCAATTGAAAAGTCTGTATTCTTTTGTCTGCTTATGCTTTTGTTTAAAACTTTATATTGCCACATAGGGCTTAAATTTTTACACTTAAAACCAGTTAAGTGAGACACTGATGTTTGTTTTTTTCCTTCAGTTTTCTCCTAATGGTGGTTTAGCAGTATTGTAACTCACACTGTCCGAGTAACAGAATTTATGACACTTCATCACCTTTCTCGACTTTCTCTACAAACTCCGTACTCTGCTATTCTTTCCTGCAGCTTTGTGTACTATAAGTATGTATTTTTTACTAAATATATAATATATATTTAAGTTTAAGGGTATGCTTTACTTACAAATCAAAGGCTCCATAGTCATTTTTTACAGTTTTGTGGCTCTGGGTGTTGGTGGGGGTTCAGCGTTCAGGGGCAGCTGATTGCAGGTAGGAGTTCCTGTAGAGAAGATAAGAAACATGCCAGCACATTTATGAATGTGGCTAAATCTCTTCTCTTTTAAGTCAAGAGTCCTTATTCTTGTAGTTTTCAGCTTAATTTCTATTGACACTTTAGGCACAATATCAAGTCACAGAAATAAGTTTTTTTATCTTAATATTTTTATGACTTCTAAAAGACTGCAACAATATCAGATAGCAGATTTCCATTGAGTATTTTGAATAACGATTGTTACAATGTCTTTATGACGATGATTTATTAGTTTTAATTCTCTGTGAGAACTTTTGTGTAGTCTTCCTTATTTGTGTGGTAATTCCTATGACTAGAAATTACACTACAGCGCATACCTGCAGTGCTTGTTTCTGTTTCCAGAGAATTAAGAATAATTTAGGTTGGAATGGACCTCTGGAGATCATCTGTTTCAGCTTCCTGCTCAGAGCAGATGAGCTTCTAAACAAGACCAGGTTGCTAAAAGCCATGTCCAGATAAGTTTTGAAAATCTCTAAGGATGGACATTTAACTGCCCTCATTGTGATAAGTGTTTTTCTTTATTTCAAATTGGAATATTCCTTGCTGCAAATTGTGTCTGCTTTTTTGTCCTTGCACCCGCAGAAAGTCTGACTTGGTCTTTGTTGCTCGCACAGTAGATATTTAAGGACGGCATTTAGGTAGATTCTCTTCTCAAGGCTATACAAAGCCAGCTACCTCTGCCTCTTGTATGTGGCCTGTTCCAGCCCCTCATTGTAGTCACGGTTCTCTGTTGGTCTCACTCCACTTTCAGTCTTGTGCTGAGGGGCCTAAAAGTGGATGCAGTTTTTGAGATTCGGTCTCAAAAAATGTTGAATACAACAGCATAGTGATATCCTTTGAACTGCTGGTTGTCCTCTTGTTAGTGCAACCCAGTGAGGACTTGGCCTTCATGGCATCAATAGCACACTGTTTATTCACGTTCAACTCCCCGTCTACCCAGGAACTTCAGATGCTCTCTAAAGAGGTGCTGCGTAGTTGGTCCATCCCCAGCCTGCACTATTAGGGGTAGTTTTGCCAGGCCAGGTGGGGGACTTTGTGTTTGTCTCTATGGAACATCTTGAGGCTTTTGTCAAACCTTTCTTGTAGCTAATCAAGGTTCTTTTGAACAGCAACCCTACCCTCCAGCACTTCCACTACCCTCACTAAGTTTCCTGTTTTCTTTTATCTCCTTTATAGAGGAGATACTTTTAAATATAGGCACTAAGGCTTATTACTGAAGACATTCAGGATTCATCAGGCATTAATGATTCATCAGGATTAATTTGCCATGCAATGACATAGCACTGTGTGTAAGGTTTTGCCATAAACATAATTGGAAATCTTAGTTTTTATGTATCTTTCAGGATATAGCAGCAAACTGATCCAGTAATTTCCTTCGGTATCTTTAAGAAATCTTCTAAGATTTACTAACACAAACTGGATAAAGTGCTAGTCTTAATTTCCAAATTCTTTGATGTGTTTAAATAAGTGAAAAAAAAAAATCTATGGGACTTTTATAATTGTTATGTTTTGATCTTGAGGAATACTTTCCCATTTGATGCTGAAATAGTATTTAACTATAATTTCTCTGAGGAATTGTTCCTTTCAGTTGTTGAGGTAGAATAGGTGGGAAGAGCTTCAGGAAGTCCTAGCTGACACTGTAAAGGTATATGTGGCTGTAAAAATCACAGTAATGCTCTACACGGGGCAGGAAAATGTGCTTTTGTTCTTAGTTTCTTTTAAGAGTTGTGGCCTACTACTAGTTTTGTTAAATGTTGGAAGCAGCATAGTTGCCAGATATGCTAGCTTTCATTTGGCTAAGAAAGTGATAGTCTAACCTGATACTAAAAAAACTTTAGAATTTATAAATGAGCTAACTGAATACAAAATTTTTCAAATAATATATTTTAAATAACTACCAAAGAAATCACAGTATTGCATGCCATCTCTTGCTTTTTGTAGCAAACCAACCTCACTGAATCATGGCAATTGTAGGAATTCTAGAAAAGAGAACTTAAAAAGTAATGTTATTGTTTTAGTGTGAATTATTTACTATTCAACAAAATTCCGTATTCCAAATAATAAAATTGCTTCATGGGATCAATGTGCAAGAGGAGGTATTCGCATAGCAATAATTCTCAGTGTTGTTTGCTCAGAGTTCGTTACTTTGAAGACTTAAATGTAACTTTTAGAAAATAAAATCAACAATAATTCTCAAATTTCTGAATCATATTACCAAGTTTTCTCTTTCAATTTCTTCAAGTCTCTTTCAAGATGAGGGAATTTCCTTTGCACTGTTTGATTTGTGATCTCAGAAAACAGAAGTATTGGATTGTAGTATCAGTTTTGTTGGGTGTTATTGTCATGTGCCTGCTGGGAGTGTTTCATGTTAAATTCCAAAAACGATATATTTTGATGTTTGTTTGGTTTTTTTTGTTGCCCAATCTTGTAACTTCTTCAAATTCACCCTGCTTTTGTGTCAATGTTTAACTAGATTATGACATATACTTTTTTTTTTCTACTTCCTACAATGTTTTGGTTAGTGTGTGAATAATTTCTACTGTTTATTAGCTGTACGCACAAAAGCAAACAGTACTGTAATTTTACGATAAACAGCATACATCCAAGAAGAAATTGAGACTTTTTTTAGACTATAATTTACTTATCTTGTTAAAATACAGTAGTGGGTCTAATATTAAATATTCATTTAAGCTGTAAAAATAGCTGGATTGTGTGTAAAGTTAAATGCTTTGTGTTTTCTTTTTTAGGCTTTCAGAATAGACCAAAATCCTTAAAGGTGTTTGTTAATCCAAGCAGCCACAAAAAAGAAGCCACTCATGTTTATTATGAGCAAGTTGCACCTCTTTTTAAACTTGCTGACATCAAAACTGATGTCACAGGTAAGTTGCTTCAAAAGCATAGTTTAATCCTTTGTGAAACTAGTCCTTAAGCATGCAAGACAATTTGAATTTAGTGCTAATCCTTATTGGCCTTGCCTTCAAGTAGTGCATTTGGAACTGTAGTTAATACAATACAATAAAATACATTTTTATTTCATCAGAAAATGTTTTAGTAGTTCTATTATTGGTGATATACTTTTCTCCTATAGCTATCAATACTAGTAATATATTTTTCATATTTTTTAAAGCAAGCATCCTATAAAAAGAAACAAGCGTTTAATGTCTGACATTCTTGTATATGCTTGCTAAGAGTTGTTCCTGCGTCCTGACAAACACATGTCCTTTAAATATTATTACTTCTCTTCTGAGAACATCTATTGGCCTGACATCATAAGAGGGGCTTATCTGAAGGACGCATTATTTCTGGATTCTGACTCAGTTTCAGGGATGACCTGAAAGCCTAAGTGATTAAGTTCTGTGATGACAAGGGCAGCTCTCACGAGGCACATGGGCACGACGTGGTGTTTAGAGAACACAGTGCAACTTCAATGTTGCAGGATAATGCTGCCTGCTGCTCAACAGTGGGTTCCTGATAGTGGGTTTGGATTTAAGTCCCCCATTTCTGCCAGAGTTCGGCTTGATGTCCTGAGTTTGCCCTTTGACTGTTTCATTTGATTGACTTTTTGTAAGAAATTTAACAGAGAAACAGTGAATTTTCTTAAATCAGTAAAATATTAATGATCTGATCATTACTTCTGCCCCTTCTGTGAAGAGACCAAAACTTATGCTATATCAAATTTGGTCCCCCAAACCACCCAGGTTTACAGAGAAATTATATTAGTATTTCCCATTCCAAATAGTTTTTTATCCATAGTATTAGAATTCATTTTAATACACTGCTGATTTTTCATTATGCATTTCATATCCATGTGAAGTGTAAACTCTGGTACAAGATATTTTAACACCGAGAATTCTTCTTCCTATGTCTGTTGTAATTGGCTTGTGAAATAATCAGTTCCAGTTCCTAATTAAACAAATTATAATACAGAGGACTCATCCTACAGTTGTCCCTTAAGCTTCTTGTGAAATAATGACTAGTTCAGGTTGCAGGCCAAAAATAATTCTGAGCAAATCTGATTTAGGCATGAGGATATAATAATGCAATAAGTGTTTATGTATGAGATTTATCTTGATAATTTTATTACCTGTATCTATGTATTTTTAAATTACTTAGCCCACAATTTAAAGTAAAATCAATTGAATACTAAACCCACATGGGAATAAGTGTGAAAAAGATTGTTAGTGTTGAAATTCTTCAGTGATAATTTAACTTCTCTTAATTGTTAAGGGAATGCCAGCAGCTTTATATAAGTTTTGATTCTCGTGGACATATTTTTCACCTGCAAAGCATAGAGGGTAGTGTAAACAGATAAATAATGATTCTGTCTTCTTAGAAATTGAACTTAGAGTTTAATATAAGATATGAATATAATTTCTGGTGGTGTTAAAATATTTTTCCTAACTGAATAAAAACAGTTGAAAGTTTATTTTCTTAAAATTAATTTTCTTTCAAATTTTGAAAAGAAACTTCTGGTTTTAGCCAGATAAATGTTTAATGGCTTATCCTTAAAGTGAGGTTATTTTGGCAATGTGCAAACAATATTGTGCTTATTAGCTGCCTAACACTCCTCCTACAGGCAAAATTAGAAAACTGCACGACAGTTTTAAATGCTAGTAGAGAACTAAATAATTAAGAACTATGCATTTAAAAAAAAAAAAAAAAAAAAAGGAGGGAGGTGGTGGTGGGTGCTGAGTGAAAGTCCTGTCTACTGATACCATCTTCTAATGAAACCAAGTGCCTTATTTCAGGTAAATTGAACATGTTTTTTTCCCTCCCAGAATTGTTTTGAATTTTGTGAAGTTGGAGTGCGCATCTCACTGTTACTGCTTTTTTGAAACATGGCCAGTATTTACATATATAGTGGTGTTCAAAGGTGTATTAGGTAGTGAAAGTTGAGGGCTTTTGTACAGTTTTTACAATGAAGATAGTTTACTTTCAGTCTTTTCTCATACACATATTTAAAGCTTGAAATTCATTGTACACAAAAATCTCTGGGCAAATTTGAACCTCTGAAGTGACTTCCAGCACATACACAAGACAAGACTTGCAGGTTACTAAAAAAAGAACCCAACAAACTTTGACAGTGGAGTGCTGGAAGACAAAGATCTCCTCATCCAGTCGTGTATTTTGGTAGCTGGCTGTTGCTTCTCACATGATCAAACTTGCCAGATCTTCTTCCTTGTAACTTCTGTTGAAATAAACTTTTTTTTTTTTTTAAATTTTTGTAATTTAGAAGTTAGGAGTGGAGGTATTCTCTCCTGCTCAAGGATATACAGCAGTCAAAACTCATGTATGTAAATGAGTGAGTTCTGAAATAGCATTTACCTTCTCCAATTATCTTTAAATTTGGTAGGGTTTTCTTTTCTTTTGACAAATTACTTTGCACACTGTGGATGTATTAATTTTATTGAAATTAACCAAAGGTCCTAAAGAGTGGATTGTGTTTTGTTGGGTTTTTTGGGTTATTTTTGTTATATCGAATAAATAAATCTCTGAAGGGCTTAGTGCTGTAGAAAGTGGGAGTTAGCAAATTTAAACTGAAACAGTACTTTAACTGTAGCTAAGGCGAAGCGATACTTAAAAACTGGTCTTGCTACAGTGTTTTAAGAGTTTGGCAATCTTGAGTGCTGCAGCTGGAATACGGTTGTTAGGAGAAGAATGGTGACTCTTCTGAAAATCCAGTTCAGCAAAAGCTCAGCCCACATTTGGGATGCCTACAAGTACTGGTAGAGAGTGATGATTTGAGCTAGTGTTTTAGAAATACATTAATATCTTGCAAAATCTTACCTACACTAAAGAAAAATAAATAAAAGTAACCCCAACAGACTCCTAGCTTGTCTTGCTTCTCTTCCTAGTTTTGACTCTTGTGACTCTTGTGCTTCTGTTTATGCACAATGACAAGTTGGATGTTTAGGCAAAACCAGCAGCATTCCTCACACCCACACCACTTTTAGGGCAGATTCACAAAGGAAAAGAGAGAACTGGACAAATAACATTGGTTTAAACTTACTCTGCAGAAAATATTTTATTTTTTTTTCCATCCAGTGTCAAGGCCAGTTAATCCGTCATTATCGTTAGCAGTTTTAATTCTGTTGACACTAGTCTGTGACAGGAGTGCCAGTATTTATGAGTCATACGGAAGTATCCCACGTTTTGAAGTGTTGAACTGATTATATGTTGCTTTTTCTACGTGCAGGGGCTGAACCCCCGGTTTCGTGTTGGCTACGTGAGACAGGGTATTACAATGTTTTGGAGTAGGTGTGACTGTCCGAATGGAGTACGCTGCCAGTGCCCTTCAGGATGCTATTGCTTGAAACTTAATGCACAATGGAATTTACAAGTTGAAAACAAAATGTCCTTGGAAAAGGAAAACTTTTTCAATTATATGTTAGAAATGATTGAAAAAAGTATTAAATCATATTTTTATAATAATATTTTGGCCACATATGTAATCCGAATCCTTCTCAAACAGTGAAAAAGGCTATTTTTTCCTCTTACCAAAATTTATCATATGGGGTTTTTGGTTTTGTGTGTTTTGTTGGTTTTTGTTTTGTTTAGGTTTTTTTTATTCACCTGGATTGAAACAGAACCAAATATTTAAACATCTAGCTGTTTTCAAGCGATCAGAATGACTGTTATGTGTCCCTCTGGAGGTTGTCAAGTCTGCTGAAAACTTTTTAGGCATGGTCTATTTATGTTTGTGTTGGTTTTTTTTCCATATTTTCTACTTGATTGATTTTTCTATATGTTCTCATGAAATTTTTCCTGGAAACTTCATTTTTTCATTACCTTTTTGTCCCAATGTCTCAAAATAGATGCAGTGTACCTCTGTCATTCTCTCATCAAATTTTAAATTTCTTGGAATTATTCCCAGTATTAAGCCTTGCAGTAGTCCTCCTATATAATTTCCGAACTTAAGCTATCAGATGCAAAGAGGATGAAGTTCCCATCAATCTGCCTAACAGTAGTCATTTTTACTGCCTTTATTGATTTCTCTGTAGACAGGAATCCTCTTTATTTTCTTTGAGTGATTAATTTTGTAATAGTAAACATAACTTACATATATTACTTACATTAGGAAAGGAAACCACTGAGCATGTTTTCTTTTTTTAAAAAAAATCTTATTTACTGTATGATTTTAATTAGATTGTACTCATGACTTTCTAAATGTCATCATGTTCATTTAGAAAGGCATGTAACCTGGTAACCAACTGTATGTTTTCATTGGAAGAGTTTCTTTCACAGATAAGCAATGGTAAGATATTTGAACCTTTCTGCATTTTTGCATGATGCACAGTTTTATTGGTCACTTTTTTCACAATCTACAGATAACGATAAAAGGATCATTTCCACTGGTAAAAGCAAAACGAAGTATGATAGCTTAAATATTGTGCTTTGATCTTCCAGAAAAAGTCCTCCATTAAAGTAAATTCTGTAAATAATTCCTGAAAGCTATTCTAGTGATAGGTATTTCTGTAGTGAAATTATATTTCTCTACCTTTGATGTAATCAAAATAACTCTAGTTTTTAATTACGAATTTCCAAAACACCAAACACTAGAACTTTGCTAATATTGCTTGGGAGATTTTGAAGTTATGTGCTCTTATACAATGGTTTAGTGTGAAGTGCAAAAATTTTATCATTTTTATTTTGATTTTGTTTTCTTTTTTTAAGAAAAAGTTATAGATACACTCACTATATATACATGCATTCTAGTGTATGTATGTGTGTGTATACATATATAAGGGGAGAGAGAGGTGTTTTCTGTTCTTGTAAGCAGCATTTGAATAGTCTGTAGAAATACTGTTATAACAGGTACGGATACGGAATGATTGTTTTAGACACCAAGACTAATAATTTTAACAGTGTTTAGAAACACTGCAGTAAAGCCTTGAACTATGCTAGCACCAAGAACAGACAAGCATGAAAGATTAATGTAATTTTGCATATAATGATGCACATTCTTACACAAAAAATCCATCTGCAAGTGTCATGTCAGTCAGCAAAAATCTTTGATGGGTGGCTGCAGCTGGGCTGTCTCTTCTGGCAAAGCTGGCCTAGAAAATGCTAAATGTAGTTATGATGCTTTGTGCCATCTGTAGTATGCCAGTTTATCCTGTCTTCACTGGCATTTACAGTACTATATTGGGTATCAACAAACACAGAGACATCAATGTAGAGTGACAGATTCATTTCCTCCAGAGGCTATGAACTCTGGTGTGTACTCGTGCCACCTTCCTCTGTGTGTTATATTCTGTTGTCACTGGTATTTGGCTTGATTTCGTGCTTCTGTGTTTAACTCCTCATATTTTTGATTTAGCAATTTGCATATCCTAACACAAAGGCAATTAAATTTGATTGATACTGAAATAATTCAGTCTTAACTGAGGATATGCTTACATTTTCCTGAAGTTTAACAACTGTGTTCATGCTAAAACTTGCATTTTGATGCAAAAAATATCTTCTCTAGTGCTTTGAATTTAAATGCATTGAATAGCCATGTGTCTGATGGCAACTGAGCTTAAATGTCTTGCTTTTTAGCTAGTGTTAATGTAAATCATATCTTCTCCTACTTTTGATGTATTTAATGATTAAAAAAAATCTGAACTCAATTACTGTATGTTCCTTATATTAGAAGGGTAAAAAATTTAAAAACCCTTTTAAATTATCTAATCATCTGATATTTAAATGACATTATTTTCCACAGTAACTGAATATGAAGGACATGCTCTCTCAGTACTTAAAGAATGTGAACTCCAGGCATTTGATGGGTAAGTTGGTCAGTGACAATGAGTGTTAGTAAACTTCATCACATTAGATTGTATTTGTATTCCATCCACAACTACGCTAGTAGGTATTTCATAAGTTACTCTGCTTCATATATATATTAAGCTGAGAAAATCAGTTCTCATTGGACGCTTTGGTTTTTATTACTGACAATAGGTATGTATTTTAAATGCATAAATAATGGTAAGTAAACATAAAGCTTTCTTAAATATGCTTAATGAAAGCTTCAGTCTCTGTATTTGCCAGAATGGCACAAGTGCCTTGTATTTCGCTCTATCCATTCAAATGGTTCTTAAGGACAACATTTTATCTAAAAGTAACTTGAATGTTTTTTCCATTTAAAAAAAATAAATCATTCAAACTTACTTGAAGTAAAGAGTGTAAGTGCTTATTCAATCATTTTTAAAGACCTTGCTATGTGGATTAATCCTGCAATCTTTGGTATTTTTGCATTAATCATTCAATAATAAGATTCAATAATATATAACAATAGTTTTGCATACGGTGGAAGTCTTACAACATTCTTACAACTCTGACTGGAATACACAGTGAGCCATAAAAGAAAGCTTAAGCAGTGTTTTATAGTCTAATCAATTTCTATTAGCTCTATAAAATCACAGTTATGTGAGAAAATGTCTGAAAATGTATGTATGTATGTATTCTAGATTCTGAAGATAATTTCTTTCCAATTAAGACATGCCTTTTGGGGTGCTAGCTGGGGAACCAGATTATCCTGGGAAGCCCACATGAAGACAGAGAAGAAAAAACTTGGGTTGTATCTTCTTGCACAAACGGCGTCTACTCTGAGTCATATTTGAGTTGTTTCATCTTTGATCATGGAGTAGAGTCACAGGAGAACTCCTCCTGTAAGAATTCTCTCCAGTAGCCAGAACTAAGGGCAAATAGGAACAGAAGAAGCTAGCTGTTTAGGTGTTGTTTTGTTTTGTTTTGTTTTTCTCATGTGGAAATTAAGTAGCTTTTATTATCAGAGATTATAAGCAAAAAAGAAATTTCTGAAGTGTTTGAAAAATGAGTTTTATAACTTCTCAAATAGCCTGGCCTCCATCTATGTTCTCATTCTATAAACCACAATACAGAAAAACATCCTATTAAATAGCTAACTTGGGATGCTTTTTGATATAAGATCATAGGGAAGATGAGTTGCAAGGGTAACTTTGTACACTGATGTACCTAGAGATATCTTAATTGTGATTTTGAAGTAAAATCTACAGAGACTGATAGGATGAGATGAGCATTCATATTACGCTAAACGACTGATACTTTGGAAAAGAAAGCTACAAAACATCACTAGTCTCTGTCATCTTTGTTATCTTTAGAGCTGTTCTTAAGAACAGGAAGAGAACGTTTGAAATTGTGGATTTCTTTTTCAGATTGTTTAAAGGCTTATGGTATACTTTTGATTACATTCTTTGTGACTTCTCCATTGCTGTCTAACCTAAGAATTTTTACTGTAGATATAAATATCTTATAGGTTCACAAAACCACCTCGGTGTCTCCCAAATAAAATTTTAATGACAATTTTTGTTTATTGAAAATTGAAACAGAAAATAGATGGGATCTGGTTTGAACTGAAAATTAACTCCATAATAATGGAATTGTCCTACTGATGAAAAATCATGCTTTTAGCAATTCTAGCAGCCACCTGACAGAACATCTTTTCACTATTTCCGTTAAGTCTTGAGAAGTTTTACTTATTTACTGAGCAGCATGGCTTGTGACTTGGAAGGCTTCATGAAGTTTGCTCCTGTTTTGCCTTGGCTTCCTGTCCAGTTTTGTTCCAGTCAGATACCATCACTGTCAGTTGCCTGTTTAAAAAATAGAATAGCACTTGCGTACCTCCTTTTAGATGTGGAAGGCCCTGTATGTGGTGGTATGAGGTAAGGTAGTTTTTGTGCTATTTCTACGTGGCAGAGTTCATGTAGACCTGATCTGCCTTGTCCAAGCTTGGAACTGTCTGGAGGCAAGCTGGACGTGGACTGAAGACCATCCCTGCGTGCTCTAACCTCTCTGCTGCTCTAACTCAGCTCGTGCTTTTCAAGTGTTGCCTATTTCAGATTGACTGAAAGCTAATTCAGGTTAAAAGGTATAAAGGGCTAGACACAACAGTGTTTTTGTTCATTACAGTAAGTCAGCAGCATAGCAACATACAATTTCTGATCTTGACTTTCTCTCTAAGAGTTACGGTTCCTTACATGTTAAACAGCATGTGAAGTAAATTGAAACTTGTGATCGTAGTACATTGGAAGCTTGTATCTCAGTGCTTTATGTAAGCAATACTGGTGTGTTTTAATTCTTTGTCAAAGCTGTTTGTTTCTATATATAATTCTTTTCTCAGGTTGCTCCAGTTCCCACTCTGTTTTGTGAGATCCATAGGCATGTGTCATGTATCTCATATACTCCACCTTTATTGCTATCTGTTGGTTTTTTTCCTTCCAAACACTGGAAATTTAGGTACTTCGCCAATTTTCAGTATGCTTTTTTCCCCTGCCTTGGGACCAAGCCAAATAGAGAAGTGCATTTGTGATGCTGCTATCTCAGCTGCATTTTCTTGTTTGTACGGTGACAGAAATACACAATATACATGCATGTATTCCTTCCCTAATCAGGAGCCTAAGGTATTATGGATATTGTTTAGAGTAGCCTGAGTTAGACTTTAGTAAAAAGTTGATTAAGAAACTCATGTCTGATGGTTAGACAGATGTTTCATCCTCTAAGAAGGCTTCTTCAAGGTCTGAGTCAAACCTGTTTGCTCAGGACTTTCTACTCCATATATATAGCAGGTTCTCACTGATTAGCTTTGGAATACCTGGTCCCTGTCTTATTTCCAGCCAAAAAAGCAACTCTTTTTTATTAAGTTAGCATTGATCATCTTTAAAGTTAGCAGCATTTTTGTGTTATTCCTTGGACTCTTCATCTATTTCCAATAACAATAAACATATCCCTCCAAAATCGGAAGAATATATTTGTTTCCAAAAGTTTTAATAGCCAGAAGACAATCATGTGTGTACCTAACTCCTTGCAAGTGTACAATTTATTAGATTACAAAGATTAACTGATTTTGGTTCTGTGGCAAAAACTTCTAAGCCTAGGAATAAACCAATCTAAACCAAAAATGAGACAAATGACAGGAGATGACTCTTGATTATGAGCAGGAAGAGAATGTAATCCAAACTTTTGCTGTATATTTTTTTTTTTTTTTAAATTTAGAAATTGAAAAATAGCTAGAAAATAATAATTGGAACTGAAGAAAAATGTTAAAGGACCTGAGATAATTTAACTTAAACATTTCGTAACATACGAGTATTTTCTTATACAGAACTTACCAGTTTTATCTGGTTGAATTATTGGACATAGTTTCACAACTACATTCATATAGATATATGAAAAAAAGATATTTTAACTAAGTGCTGCTAAAAGGAAATCTGACTTTTATATTGTAAGTGCTTGAAGTGTACTGTTATTATTTTTATCATTAAAATCTGTTTACCTTAAAAAAATTCAACTTTCAAATACCAGTAATTTGGAGAATCATTTTAATAGTTACTTAAATAAACAAAAACAGGACAGAAAAGGATGTTTGCTGTAACAGAGCTGTTACAGACAAATGCATTCCTTTCTATAGCCACAGCAGGTGGGAGTTTAATTACATGCTCCAGAAGCAGTGATTAAGTACCTTCATGCAAAGGATTGCTGGCACTGGGGTTTTATACCTTGCTAAATCCCTCAACTGCCTGCCTAACTAGCTGTTTTCAAGTATTTATAATTTTATTGTAATATTTGGTGGGGTGTTATTATAAGGGCAATTAAAAAGCATTGGAATGCTTGTGTGGGTCAGCACTGAAAGATTTAAAGAACTTTTCCACTGAGGCACTTGAGCATATACTTAACTCTTCCATCTGCATAGTATGTGATAAGGTAAGAAATACTTTCTAAGTTGTTAAATATATTTACTCCTACTCAGGTAGAAGAAAGCAGAAATAAGGATGCTGATATCCTTATAATAAGGATCCCTGCCCATGGCAGGGGGGTTGGAACTAGATGATCTTTGAGGTCCCTTCCAACTCTAACCGTTCTATGATTCTATATTTTGTTAGTTAACATTCACTGATCTGACAGTGAAGCCCTAGCTTGTTCTTAAAGAAAGAATGGTTTTTAGCTCTTTGAAATATCATTATGTATATGGTGTGTGATAGCTGCCTTCCACTTGCTTGCTCAGCTATGGAAGAGTTTGTTTTGAACTGTTTAGCGTTTTTGTTTTGTAATAGGGTAGTTTGTGTCGGTGGAGATGGATCTGTCAGTGAAGTTGCTCATGGTCTACTACTTAAAGCCCAGATAGATGCTGGAAAAGACACAGACTATATACCAACGCCTGTCAGAGCACCGGTTCCTCTTGGAGTAATACCAGCAGGTGAGACTGAAAGGTACTGTTATATTTTTAAGTCATCTGTTTTAAGTCCCTCTGGCGTGTTTCACCATTTTGCCTACTGAAGGCAGTTCTTGGTGCTAAAGCTTCAGTTACTTAAGGGAGCTATTGAATAAATGTCCTCAATTAGTGATTTAGATTGATTACAAATGACTAGATTTTAAATCGTTATGATCATTTATAGTAATGGCACAGATGAGCTCTTTGCCTAAAGGAAGAAGCTCAGGAAGAAGAAAACTAAAATAATTTTCAGCTGATCTAAGCAAAGATCAAATTTTACCCTTATTTGCTGCCAGAAATTATACCAAATGAAAACTTTGTTTTCTAGAATTTCCTTAATATAAGCCATGCTGTTTCGCTTCTCCCTCCGGTTTTCTTGGCAGGATTCTCAGTTGGATTCATGACTAGGGTCTATTTTTAAATGGTGTCCAGGAATACGTTTTGCAGGTTATATTAAAAAAAAATAATAACACTGCATACACAGAACTGTTTTCCTCTCTTTACTTTTACAGACCAGAAAATGTATTTTATGTCTCTTGAAAAATTGTCTTGCTCCTTTTTTAACTTGTACCTGCATCTTGTGGTGTGTTTTGTTTTTTGCGGGGTGTATGTGTCTCTTCTCCTCCCGGTTTTTGTATTTGCTCTTCTTGGAGTATGACTTGGACCGGGTAGGGAGGCTTAGCTAGAATTAGTACAGGGTGGGGTTGATTCTCAGCTGATATATGAATCACTACTTTTTAGAAGAGAAGGAATATTTTTGCATGGACACTACCCTCTGGTGTGGATGGGGATGTGACTACTTGATGTAATTTCTCAGGTGTTTTTAACTGGTAAGGAAAAAATTCCTACAGCCAGGTGAACAGCAAATCATTGTTTTTGTTTTTCTACAAAAAAAGGGATCAAGTCCCTTCCTAACTAAGCAAGCAGGTTTTAAGTGCTCTGACTTGCTTTGCACTTCTAAAGACAGCATTAAGACAGTTGCTTGTAAAATTGCAAGATTACACTAGATTTTTCAAGTTAAGAAAACCTTGGAAATGTCTTGATAAAAGACACAATAATCTCAAAGACATGAAACAAATGAATTTAGTACAGCAGTTGGACCATCACTTACCATTTCAGTTGCGGTGAATATCTTGATGGTGTTGAGACAGAATCTCTCCAGCACTTGAGTCCATGCTATTTGGGTGTGCTTAGGTCACTGTGCCTCATCATTAGGGCTTACTCTCTTCAGTTTAAGACAAATATGTCATGATCAAAAAGGATTTGTAAACCCAAAAGAATGCTGTGGGGCTTGTTACACAGAATGCCATAGACTTTGTTAAAAGAGGGTGAGAACAATTCATAGAATGATAGTGTGAGAAGCTCTTTAATAGGTTCTTTAAAATAATCTCTATCTTATTGTATTTCCATATTATCGCTATTCTAAAAAGTAGTAAGTTAGGAAACAGATAAGTATGATCCTTGTGTACATGAGGAAGATGGAACTCAATGGTAAATTAATTATATTTTTTTATTCCCCCCAGAAATCCATTGTACCAAATTATTTGGATTCTCCAGCTGAGTAAAAACAGAAACTGTATTTAAGGATAGTATTATTTGAGAGGCTTAAAATCTGTTTTTAGCCTCTACTATAAGTAGTTAAGACACCAGATTGAAGTTTCAGCCAACTTCGTGGGAAGGAGCTGCTCTTGAAACAGTTTACCTCCTGAAGAGAAAGGTCCAGAGGGGAGTGTGTTTTTACTAAAATACTCTACTGAGCTGCCTTATTCTGGTCCAAATCAAATGGATGAGATGTGAGGAAGCCTGCAGTTGTACTGCTGGCCATTAGCAAGAGTGTTTGTTGCTATGGGAACTACTGCTAAGAAGCTCTACGGAGGGGGAATGGGAGAAAGGGGAGGGGGAACTGGAAGGACATTAAAAAAGCTATCCAGTTGTTACAGAACAAGAGACGATCTATATCTGATGACTGGGGACCTTTTGGTCCTAAATGGTTCATTTAAATAAATTCATGATTTCCAATTAATTCAGAAAATAAAATATTACTGAGGGACTTTTAATTTCTGTGATATTTCAGGCAAAGAACCAAAATGTTGGTGCAGTTTTCATCAGAATTTTAGCTATGCTTGACTAGGAAGTCATTACATCACATTTATCTGTTTGGATGGGGGAGACATTAACAGCCTTATGAATATTCATGTTGTCTGGTTAATTAAGTTAATTGTACTGCAGAAGTGCTTGCACTTCCAAGGACAATTTTTTCCTCTACGATTTCTGTTTGCTACCTTCATCAGTCATGCTTTACATGACCTGCAGATACTTTGTCCTTACCGTGATGCTTTTGCACATTTCATAGGAAGGAGGTTGTAGGAAGTTGTTTGTAATGTCAGGAAAATGGCTTAATATTTTGAACAGAATTATATTTTTCGAATAATAAAATCTTAGTTTCTGTTTAAAAAAATGTTGGTAACAGACATGCTGGAGTCGTATGGATGAAACCTTTTTACAGTAAATTGAGTAGTTGGAGTGAGATCTGAAAATGTGACTGTTACTAATCTGTGAGGGGTGCCAGCCCGTACAAGAGCATCAAAGAAGGTCATTAGTCTCTGAAGTAATACGATAGTGTTCAGGGAAACCATCTTGTTATTGGTAAATAATATTCTGAGCTTACACAGGGGAGGAAAAGGTTTAGATGACTTGGGAAAATGAATAATAGCATTTAAAGCACTACTATTGAATCACCACTTAAATCAGCAAAGCTTGTATTCTAATATTTTTGTATTATAATTTAATTGGTTTTGTTTGGTTTATAAGTGCTTTTTTTTGTGTGGCATCCTGCTTGTATAGGAACTAGGTAATGAGACACGTTATTCAGTCATCACTGGGATCACAATGCTGTTAGGCATGTAGTAAGAGTTTTTCAGAGAAGGTGATGGTACGTGCTACTGCAAAACTG